AAATATGCTCCAGATCTGACAAAAATGACTGATACAATCCAAGCTCTGATACCAATTGTAAGTCCCTAATCTGCTTGTGTATCAATCAGATCCGTTTGATGGTGCGGAATCCCAATCAAACGGATGATGTCAGATCAAATAGAAGAGAAGGAGAGGAAGAATAATATGAATCTTGAATGTATTGATGATATGAATTAAGTTCCTTACACAAGATTCACACACTTACACACACTAAAACTCCTTTCTCTCTCTCTTGGCCGTACACTCTCTTCTGTTCATCATCCGGTTCCTCACACCCCTAACACCTATATATATACTTGGGGAATATGGGCCATAAATGGGTTTACGGCCGTAAACACCCATTGGGCCGTAAACAGGGTTTACGGTCGTAAACCTGTTTACGACCGTAAACACCCCCTTGGCCATAAACATGACCGTAAACTCATAAAATATTACAGAAAATTACAATCAACTAGAAAAGCAAAGTATAAACCAATATTTTGACCCAACATATGACCTGATGTTTGTGTTTAATTTCTATCTAGTGAAACTGATTTTATTTCAATCGAATGTTTGATTCTAATAATGATTCTTATTGGCCATTTGAATTAGGGTTAGGTCATTCAAGTTATTCATTTTGCAAAATCCGTAATTGTTTTGTGAATTGAACTAAGTAACAAGCATTAAATTGATTTCTTATGAATAAATTTAGTGTAAATCTTTTCACACATTCTTACGCTCCCGAGCTTGTGAGGAGTATTGGGTGTTGTTGGGAACATTCGCAATAAGCTTAATGCAATCTTTTAATCTAATTCTAAGAGCTTGTTTAGATTAGGTTAGCAAGGTTAGGATTAATCAAAGAGCTTGTTTTGATTGATTAATGTGGTGAATGGAAAGTGTTAGAGCTTGTTAACACTTTCAAGTACCAACTTAGATAGAATGAAACAAATGTCTTGTCATCTTTGATTCACATTGCTGGATTGTCATACATGAAGTTGGAGTCCTTACAAAAATCTGAACTTAATTCATTCGTTTAGTTGTTTACTCGTGTTTTAAATTTGTTTGTTTAATCATTGCATTCAAAACCCCCCTCTTAATCTGTTGGTGACCATAGTACCTTGCGCAAAGAGGTATAGACTAATTATCACGTGTCTCTGTGGATCGACCCTGCTTGCCTTGTACTACCTTTTAGTGCAATATAGTGGGATTCTTTTGGAGTATATCGTACCCCTTTATTTGTTGGGTCTGACACGCCTAACAAGGAGGCTCATAAGTCTCATTTCTCTATTCACCCGGGGGCCACCAAGATGTACCGGGATTTGAGTTTGAGCTATTGGTGGCCGTGCATGAAGCGAGAAAACGCTTGGTACGTCGAGAGGTGCTTGACCTGTAGGATGGTCAAGGCTAAACATCAGAAGCCGCATGGCAAGCTGCAGCCCCTGGAGATTCCCATGTGGAAATGGGAACATATCACGATGGATTTTATTACCAAGTTGTCGAGGACGGCGAAGGAGTTTGATGCTATATGGGTCATCGTGGATCGATTGACCAAGAGTGCCCATTTCTTGGCTATACGGGAGAGCTCATCGGCCGAGAAATTGGCCAAAGTATACGTTCGTGAGATCGTGTCTCTCCATGGGGTTCCCGTTTCCATTGTCTCTGATCAGGATGTCAGGTTTACCTCCCGCTTCTGGCAAAAGTTCCATGAGGAGCTGGGCACGCGGTTACACTTCAGCATAACATTCCACCCGCAGACAGACGGCCAGAGCGAGCAGACTATTCAGATCCTCGAGGACATGTTGAGGGCGTGTGTCATTGATTTTGGTGGGAGTTGGGATTCTCACCTACCGCTTGTGGAGTTCGCCTACAAAAACAGCTATCATTCTAGCCTTGGCGCCCCGCCATTCGAGCTGTTGTACGGGCGGAGATGTCGTACCCCGGTTTGTTGGGGTGAGGTTGGTCACAGGGTCATGGGTCGGACGGAGGTGGTCTTGCAGACTACAGAGAAGATTCAGCAGATTAGGCAGCGACTGCAGACCGCTCAGAGTCGGCAGAAGAGTTACGCCGACCGGCGCCGCTCCGAGTTAGAATTTCAGGTCGGTGACATGGTACTCCTGAAGGTTTCGCCCTGGAAAGGCGTGATCCGCTTCAGGAAGAGGGGAAAATTGGGTCCCCGATATATTGGGCCGTTCAGGATCATTGCCAGGGTTGGCAAGGTGGCTTACAGGCTAGAGCTGCCGGAGGAGCTTAGTCGGATACACAACACTTTCCACGTTTCGCAGCTGCGAAAGTGCATTATGGATCGAGAGGAGGTGGTGCCGTTGGATGATATTCAGGTTGATGAACACCTGAATTACATAGAGAGGCATGTGGCCATACTGGAGAAAAAGATGAAGATTCTGAGGAATAAGGAGATACCTTTGGTGAAAGTACAGTGGGAGCATCGGAGGGGGTCCGAGTGGACGTGGGAGACGGAGGCTGAAATGCGGGAGCATTACCCGGAGTTATTCGCTGCAACAGACTTCGAGGACGAAGTCTAGTTCAAGTGGGGGAGAATTGTAACACCCCGATTCTCAGGTATTGATTTAATGTGTGAGTTTTTGATTTCAAGGGCTACTCGACGAGTTGATTTCCCTACTCGTCGAGTAGCAGCGGGTTGGTCCACGTATTTTAATGACCTACTCGCCGAGTCCAAGAAGGGACTCGACGAGTAGGAGCTGGCAGATGAAACCCTAAATCTCGCGGTTTTGCACCCTATTTAAAGGATCATTGGCCTCCCCCAGCCTCCCCTTTACTGCCCCTTGTCCCTCTCAAACCCTAAATCGTGTGTGTATGTTCTTTGGTGTGTTCAAGCTTGGAGGAGGAACTTTGGAGAAGGAAACACTTAGGGAAGCAAGGAAATCAAGGCTAGGAACTCGTGGGGAGCTAAGAGATTCATCAATTGTCACTCTCTGGAAGGTATTAAGCTGTTCCTTTAGCTCATCTCTCTTTTAACCTCTTTTGGATGGGTTTTATGAAAGGCTCCCCATGCTTAAGCTAAGATCTGAAGTTGTAACTTCAGATCTGGACTCCCTTTGACCTCTAGATCCATAAGGTCATCAATCTTGCCTAGTAGGAGCCTTCCCTCAAGTGTGAGACTTCATTGAAAGCTTAGTTTTGCCATTTAAGGGTCTTAAAGCTTTGCATGCACGTAAAGTTTGCGACTTTACGTGATAAACATGTCCTAGAAGCTTGGATCTGTAATCTGGAACCTTGCCATGGCTTAAAAAGCGTCTGCATGGATAAAGGTCTGCAAGGACTCGGCGAGTTGGATGAACAACTCGGCGAGCCCGTCGAAGATGGTCATGAACTCGACGAGTTGAATGAACAACTCGGCGAGTCCGTTGAAGATTGCCTTGAACTCGGCGAGTCGTTCTAAGACTCGGCGAGTCGGCTAGGGTTTCTCCCAATTCTTGGACACGTATGAACTTGGCGAGTTAAAGGGGAACTCGACGAGCCAATCAAGGATTTCACGATTTCTCGAGTTCAGGAAGGACTCGACGAGTCGGTGAACTGCACTCGACGAGTCGAGTCAACATGGACTGTTGACTTTGACTGTGGACTTTGACTTGGACCAAGGGTTGACCAGTTGACTTATGAGGGTATTCTGGTAATTTGGAGATTTATGAAAAAGGGTTTTATGGTAACTATAGGTGGTGGAGCTCGTGCTGGTGATCCGGGAGTTTAGCTTTCTAGTTTCAGACGACAGTTGCAAGGTGAGTTATCTTCACTATACTAAGGGGTCTAAGGCACCAAGGCCGGCCCATTGGATATGTTATCCTAGCAGTGTTATATGTTGAGTATGAGTTAGTGTTGCATGCTAGTGGTTATGCCAGTTGGGTAGATCTGTAGGTGTGATGTTATATGATTATTGCATGTTTGGTAGTTATGTTATATGTTGATATGTTAAGTGGGATGGGTTGAGGTTGTACTGCTCCGTGCGGTAGCCAACAAACCCTAGAGTATTCCAGATACGAGCTGAGGGCCCGGTAGGCATTCCAGACTCATACTGAGGACTCGGGAGCATTCCAGATACAAGCTGAGGGCCCGGTAGGCATTCTAGACTCATACTGAGGGTGCGATGGTATTCCAGATACGAGCTGAGGGCCCGGTAGGCATTCCAGACTCGTATTGAGGGCCCAGGGGTAATCCAGCTTGTAAAGCTGTGGACCCATTGCATGCTGTTTCAGTTTGTTATGATATGTTATTACTGATATGGTTATGTGGACTGTATGTGTATCGGTATTTTGGGGGTAACTCACTAAGCTTTCGGGCTTACAGTTTCAGTTTATTGTTTTAGGTACATCAGGGGATCGCGGCAAGGCGAATGCATTATCGTACAGCTCCTCACATTATGTTTATGTTTCTGGAAATACTCTGATAAATAATATATTGAAAACAAAGTTGTAATGTTTTGATGAACTTGACATGTTTTAAAAGTTTAAATTGGTTTGAAATTTTTGGGTGTTACAAAAAGTGGGTCCAATAAGTCTAAGGCCCAATTACTCACAATTAGGGTTTTCTAAACCCTAATTAGGATTTTTCACCCAATCATGGCTCAATAGGCCCAAAACTACTCCTTAAGCCCATTAGGGTTTTGCTAGGCCAATTAGGGTTTGCTTGAGGGGCACCACCCACTACCACCTCGGGTAGTGGCGGTCCATGGCGGCTCACGGTAGCGGCCACCACCTTACGGTGGTGGTTTTGGGTTCCTTTTTATTATTCATCTTGCTAATTACAATTACAAATCTTTAACCCAAAATAAACACACACACACACTAACTAACTAACACACACACACACAGCCACACCATGGTGGCCGGCGGCAGTGCTTGGCGGCAGCCTTTCCGCAACTTCCGATTACTCAACATACACACCCACTTAACACAATAAGCAACAGTACACACACACACCTAATTACAAAGCAAAACCCGCATACAATCGTCCCTCCCTAGCAGCATATGGCGGCGATGGCGGCTGGCAGCAGCTCCCAGTGTCTTTTCTTGGCTACCCAAAATGTCCGACGACAAAGGCTGTTGAGGAAGTGCCGACAGCAACAGCAACACAGCACCACGGCTTCTGGCTTCGCCGGCAAACACAGCAGCGGCGACAACTTGTCGTTAACTAACACGGGCAGCGGCACCAACGGCGATATCGGCAGCGCTGGAGGTGAAGGGGGTGGTAACGGGCGTTTAGAAGCTTGTTGGCGTCCACAGTTGGCGGTGGCTCACGTCTTCAGCGGGATGGCACAGTGGCGACTCGTTCTCGGCGGAAACGAAGCAACCATCGACGGCAGTGAGGCTGTGGCGACGTTCGATGGTCGACGACCTCCATAGAGGTGGCGGCGCGGCGCTGTCATGGCAGGAGATGGAGGCAACGATCCACCTCCAATCGCTATCGACTAAGCAGCAGCATCCCACGATGGTCTCCTTCTTCGGCAGCGACGGGAAGGCACCTACGGTGGCTCGTGGTCGGAGAAACAAGGGGGGGGGAAGTCGGTGATGGCGGCTGGAGGAATGGAGGTGAAGAGGGTGACAGCTCAATCCAAGAATGCTAGGGTTAGGGTTACGGAGGTGGTAACCTTATATACCCGGTGCCTTAAAACATTTCCCCATATTAACATAATTGATCCCTCCTTCCTTCTTTTCTTCCAAAATAAGTTCATATTTTACACTTTTAACCCTGCCTTCCGAAATCTTTACAAACTGAATCCAAAACTTACATTTTAAGCCCTGATCCCATAAATTTCTTTCAATTTAATCCCGAACTTACTCTTTTAACCCCCGACTTCTAAAATTCTTCACAAATTAGTCTGGGACTCACATTTACTAATTTATTTAAATAAACGGGGCGTTACATTTCTGGCTGTGATTTTGGGGATGTCACACTCAAAATCTTAGAGCAACAAATAACACAACTTGCTCAATCAATGAGTATAATGGAAGCTCGAGAAAAACTACCATCTGAAGAGAGCCCATCACATAACACATGTTCCACTCCTTTGAAAGATGAGAAAAGTTTTGATGACCCAAGAGTGCTATATGAAGAAGAGGAAGAAGAAGTAGAAGTGGAAAAGGCTGTCAAAGAGGAAGAATAAATTGAGAAAGCTGACAATGAAACTATAGAGGAAGTGATATGGGTTAACAAAAGAGAGGTTGAGCCACCCACTACCATTGAGAAACTAACTCCAGTGGTAGACCAACCACAAGAACCGGAAACGATAAATCTGTCGGACCCTTCAAAGGTTACATATCCCGAGAAAGAAGTCACCCAATCGGTCACCTACTCAAACCACATGGCCGACCTTACCATATAAAAAAATTAAGCAAGGGCTTAGAGCCCCAATTTTAAAGGGCCCCAGTTTTTAAAATCGGTGGAACCGACGATGATTCAATTTCTACAAAACGTGATCGATTTCCACAAAACCCAACCTTTGTTCTAGTGTTCTTCTTCCTTCAATCCATTCTCGATCCTACCTTATCCATTCTTTCATTATCGATTTCGATCAATGCCTCAGTGGTATACTAAGTCTAAAACGCAGCCAACGCCCAATAGCCTTTTGCATTTTTGCCTTTTGGCCCTTCTCTAATTCTTGATTTCGATCATCATCACCATCTCTATTGGTATTGCTTAACTCTTCAGAAATTTAGGTTTATTTTTATGAAATAATTATTTTCTGATTGTAGAGTCTACTTTTTAAATCCCTTTTTTGTTATTAGAACTTTCTTGAGTGTACTCTAGATTGGTCATTGGTGTAGGACGATCATCAACCACACACTCTTTCTCCTCCCTCCTATTTACTAGTTGTTATTGGTATCATTCTGATAGAGGATTTAAGGTACATACCTCACTAGTCACTACCTTGTACTAATTTTTTTTTTCCGAATAAAGCAGCTACGTGCTTGTCCTGAGTTCACCAATCACCATTACAGGTGTGTATAATCTATGTTAAATTGTCAATATGTGTGTTGAATCTATATACGTGTGTGTCATTGTGTGCTCGGTTGGCTTTGAAACATCAACCAAGAAGAGGGAAACCAACCAAGTTGAAAATCTGTTTAGGATTTTGATTCATAAGAAACCTAATTTAGATTTCTATTTTGATTTGCAGGTTAATTCTCATGTCCTCTTTTATCTTTTTTGATTACTGAATATAGACTATAGAATCAAGGCGTCACGGTTAGGCCTTCAGGGTTGGAACAAGACATGAACAAATTTGAGTTTATACTTTTCAATTTTGAATTATCTTATATTCTCAAGTATTCCATTAATCCATAATCTGATAATCCATTAGTTCTAGTTTAACTTTGCCATTTAGAAACTTTTTGGTTTATTATTGTGGGTCTCAAGCCTGGATAAAAGAGTTGGGTTTATAACATTAATATAGTAAAGACCAAAGGGCCCTAAAATTTAGGCTCGCTTAGAGCCCCCAAACTGGTTGAGCCGCCCCTGCTCAACCACCATGTCAAAGAGGGAAGAATTAGTCACCATACTAAACAAGTACAAGAAAGAATGTGGTTGGATGATTTCTATTATCAAAGGTCTAAGTCCGCTATGGTTCTCCCGTAAAAACAAAGTCAAATACAAGAAAAGAGACCAAATGGAAGTGTGGAAATTAAAAAATGTCAACATGAGACAAATTTTCAAAGTCCATGCGCATTGTTTGAAGCCTTTCTATGAGGGTTTCTATGCAAATGTTATAGATGTCATCCGTTTGGATGTCCCGGGGAACTAAAGTAACAAAGGGAAGTCATCTCGCCAAAGACGTTAAAGAGGGACATTTTGGAAAGCATTGTGCTTTCGTCTTTTTCTAATTCCAAATAAATGTTTTTATTAAAACCGTTTTTACAAATTCAAAAGTTTTCATTTTTTTAAAAATCCAAGCTCTCCCTCCTTTTGAAGTCAAATTTTGATGAAATTTGAGGAACTGGGGCTCATTTTGGTCAAACACAGAAGTTTTGAATTTTTGCCCAAAGGGTTTTCCAAATGGTCCGTGTGTGATTTACTCGTCCCTGTAACTCTTTTCGTACAAAACTTGAATTCAGTTTTCTTGCAGCCGATCACACACTGTCTGTGTGGATTTACACATTGTCCGTGTGTATTTGTTGACTAGCTTTGACCAACTTTAACTTCCATTGAATTGTTGACCAAATTACTTAAGTAAGTTGCAACCCATCTTCTTCATTAGCCCACCGATTGTTTCCCTCCCTCTATACATTCTTTCTCTCTCAAGAAACCATTAACCCAAACCCTCCTCCCATTCATCCTTATCCCCCTTCATCTTAGCCTTACCCTTACCCACAATACCAATACCCCTATCCTCCTCCCAAACACTCGATTTAGGTACTTCCCCCCCCCCCAATAATTGAGGACAATGCTTATTTCTAAGCTTAGGTTGGGGTATCTTTTTTGCTTTTGCTTTTGCTTTTTCATGCATTTTTAGGCTGCATAGCATTTTAGTCTTTAGCTAATTTGCATCTATTTTTTTTATTTATTTTATAAAAACTCCAAAAATATTTTTTTTGAATAACATTTAGTTTAGTACATTAGCATACATGCATTTTTGTTATCTGTTTATTCTCATCTCTTGGATGCCATGGAAGAGGGTCATAAGTATTGAATCATAGATTGGTCATGGGTTTTGTTGTGGAATTGATTGTGTTCAACAAGTGGGATACATATCGCTCCTAAAAGACCACTTTTTGGACTGCTTGTGTGGGGTTTAGATGCAGGTAGCTTGATTAGGTCTAGGTGGGAATGGAAGTGGTCAGCTAGAAAGATGCGTGCAGGAAAAGATTAGCCTGGTAAGGTATTTTGAAGATCTTGAAGAATCGCATCTCGGTTTTGGGGGAAGTAGCCCTTAGTACTCCCGAGTCTCGCCCGAGCCTTACTAAGTTAGATTCTCACCACCTTTTTAGGCTAGGAAATTTTTCTAGAGGTCTAGAATAGATAGTTAGTTAGGTTTGTTCATTGCACCTTACGTTGATGAACTTTGAGATAGGTCCCCCAATTCATATTTTTTGGACCACAATTTTTCTTGGTAACACCCATTCTTGAGTCATCCCTTACCCTTTTTAGTAGATCTTGACACACTGTCAATGATCATTAGGTATTAATTTCTAGCCTCTATCTATGGTGCAATCTCTAAGCCATGAAGAAAACAAACAAAAATGAAGAAATTTGGAAAGCAGTGCTACAAAAAGGAAGCAACAAAAGAAGAAGACTCAAAGAAAAAACAAAAATTAGAAAAATTGAAGAAAAGAAGCAACACAAAAGAAGAATAAGAGATCAAATGAATATTCAAGCTCATATCCTCTCCTTAAAGAAAAATAGGAGAGAAAGAAATAAAAGACAACGACAGAAGACAAAAGACCGAAAAAAGAAGTTCAATATTGAAGACTTAGGTTGTCTTGCGTCTAGTTCTTAGATTGATTCGTTTTTATTTTGTTTTATTTTATTTCTGATTTTGGTGATAAAATGCTATGAAGGTGAGACGGTAGATCGTAAAGGACAGTACAAGGGAAAAACCTTTGAAGCCGGATGTTTTCCCGGAGGCCTTGCTGCAAAAACCCATATATTGTTATTATACACTTTGGCCTGACAAATGTAGGAACCATCGTGTATGGGGCATCTTTCTTTCATGCATTATGGTCTGTATTGGTGAATTTAAAGTGCCCCTACTAGGCGCATCCCCTGTTTCCTTTGTCTAGCACATTCTGATGGCTGCTACCTTAAGAGGAAATCTATTCGCCCATCAAGTGGTTTATTGTTCTAAAGTGGGGAACACTCGAAAGACACGTAGGGTCCATGCAAGGCTGAATCTGACCATGTTGATTGATCTTGACTAGGTTCTGTGTTTCTGTCCATTCTTTTTTATTTTTATGATAGTTCATCCCAAGTTCATTTTAGTATTGTCTTACTTGAGGACAAGTAAGGTTTAAGCTTGGGGTGATTTGATAACTTCATTTTACTACTTCTTTTCCTAGTTTATTTTAGTTTATTCCATCTCATTTTAGTTAATCTTCATAAATATTTTCTCTTTTATTATATTCATCTTTATTTGGCACTTTCTAGTCTTTTGAGCTTAATTGTAGGATTTTTTTCCGAAGACTATTCAACATGGAGGAATATGGGACCTTTGGAAGCTTGCGGTTTACTTGTGGGCTTGAAGTGGTGCAATTGGGCTTATTGTCAACATGATGATGGAGCAAGTTGGACTTAATCTTGGTTGAAGAATAAGGATGATGTGAAGAGAATTTGAGCTATAGAAGATCAAAGAGCAATGGGAAAACTTGAAGATGATTATAAGGCTAATAAATTGGGATAACTATAGTTT